AAATTTTGGAGTTTTCACGGTACTAATTATTCCATTTCAATGAAACTTAGTATAAAGATGCTCTAGGACAATGTACAAACCTAATTAGTTTTGGGTAAAAATCTGTTCATATTAATTCCCTAATAAGCATAATAATTCATAATTTTTTGGTTCTAATCACATTTCAATTAAACTTGGAGACATAGATTTTCTGTTACATTGCGCAGACCTCATTAGTTTTACACTCAAATCTGGTCATATTAATTTTCTGATTTGCATAATTAGTTTTCAGCTAAGTAATTTCGAATTATATTTAATGTGTCTCCAATACTCTCAGCACATGGGAGTTCTTTCTAAGCTTTCTTTGATTTGGCTTTCTAGCCACCATGTTCAGACCATGCCTTCTGTGTTGAAAAATAATGTTGCTAATGTAAATTTTGAAAAAAAGTTTGATTTAGTACCTATTCCTTCTGAACATCCCAAATTATGTATAGTCTAATAACTTGGACATTGTTCATTGTTTTACTTTTCTGAACAATGAAATCCAGAATCTATTGTGATTATCCAGAACACTGTACGTGAATGGACAAACTACTATTCAACAATTAGCTATTACTAGTTTTAAAAAAAAATTATTTCGAAATTTAATGTCAACAGATCGTATTTTTAACATTGATAATATAACTCTGTAGTGTGTTTACCATCAACAATATTCCTGAATTCTCTAAAAATTGCATCAGTTCCAATTGGATTGTGATTGATTAATACTGGGCGTCATTTTTCAAACATTTCAGTCTTTCCTGGCACCTAAATTAGAGTACAATTTAAGTTTTCGGTGGTTACTAACGCCTATTCATGGGTTTATTTTGACTTTCGACAATGAGCTGTTATCACCCTGAAAATGCTTCAGTTTATCTTGCAAAGTTACTGGTATGTCATGGTCATGCTGTTTTAACACCAAAATCAACACCAAAAGATCATAATACAACATTGGTAAATCTCTTGCAATGAGTTCTCATTTAATGAGGTCGCTGTACCCTCATTAACATATTTAAATTGGGTAATTCAAATATGTTGACACCATCCAGCATTCTGATTGGTTAATAATTGGCTTTCATATTAGTTCTAAGAATACAGCTTCAAGTCAACTCGTATCACATCAAGCGTTAATGTATCCAAAGACCTTTCACTCTTTCCTGACACCTAAATTAATTAATTTTCACCTAAAATAAAGTATTTTACAGTATTTACATAACAGACTTGACCTATCATGGAGAAAATCATATTTAAAAATTCAATGAAAAACATTCAAGAATGATGATAATGTTGACGATGTTTACTCAGATTGTTTTTCCCACTGACTCTGATATAAGTAATAAAGTGTGCCATGTTTATTGCAAAGGTGTTGTGGAAATCAATGACAACACAACTCTTTTTGTAAAACAATGTTTTATTTTTATTATGTGCTCCAAATGTGGCAAATCGTGAGTGGAAATTGTAATTTTGATAATTTGTGGGGGATTAAACGCTTCACGTCTTGAAAATCGAGAATTTTTGCGTGGTCATTTATACTCAATATTGAGATGATTTATAGTGACTCAACAAAATTCATGTGCAAATTATTAATGTACATTTGTTCTACAGAGCTCATATCCTTCATTGATTTTTAAAAACTTGATTTGTTTCCTTTTTTGTGATATATATAATTTCTCATTTCCTGTTCAGATTTTAACCACCTCCAGGAAGCATTTTGGTAATGGCGGCAATAAACGAATAAAATACACTTTGCCACCGTTGGTGTTCAGTGCTTTTCAGTTGGCCTATCGGTATAGGGATATTGCTGAAGAGGTAAGTCTTGGTCATTCTATATCGCTGAATTGCTGTTTTTTAGCTCCGCTGTCGACGAAGTTGAGCGGAGCTTATAGTATTACTGATTGTCCGTCATCACCGTCGTCAACTTTACATTTTCGACTTCTTCTTAAAAACCACAAACTGTATGGCTGTGGAACCTTCTAGGAAGGTACCTTGGGTGGTTCTCTCTCAGATTTGTTCATTTTGTGTGGATATGTTCAATTGTCTGATTTATAGCGAATATTTTTGCCATTTTTGGTCAAAAATGCTATTCCTGCCCAAACATCACTCATGGTTGATGTTTTGAATGAGTTGTTTATCGGACAAATTTGGTATATGCAATGAATGGTGGGGTAGTAAAAATAAAGTATGACTAGTGTGCTCAACTGTGTTCCTCACACCAGAACCATGGATCAACTATTTGGGTTAATTTTTGTCTTTCCTTGTCTTCAGGATGATAAATGGGAGAAAAAATGCCAGAAAATCTTTACATTTTGTCATCAAACAATCGGTGCTTTGATCAAAGCAGAATTATCAGAACTACCACTCAGATTATTCCTTCAAGGTGCCGTAACAGCTGGCGAAATTGGCTTTGATAATCATGAAACAGTGGCATATGAATTCATGTCTCAGGTGAGTATACCGCCCTCTAGTGGTGGTTGTGATGAAATTGGCACACCTTGGGGGCGAGTACACTGCCCTCTAATGGTGGATGTGAGTTGAATATTTTTCTCCACTCGCTGTTTAAGTTCTTTTGATCTGTCCGCCATCTTCAACCATGACAGTCACATTCTTGTTATGATTGCCAGGTAATTAGAATTGTGACAATAAATGGTATGAACATCCTCTCACTTAGCCATGTATTTGTAGCCTATGGAAAAGTTACCAAAGGTTGTAACTGAAATTTCATATTATAAAATTGTTTCTTTTTTTTTTACAGGCTTTTTCACTTTATGAAGATGAAATCAGTGATTCGCGAGCACAGCTTGCCGCGATCACTCTTATTATCGCCACCTTTGAAAGAATGAGTTGTTTTGGTGAAGAAAATCACGAACCACTCCGAACACAGTGTGCTTTAGCAGCTTCTAAATTACTTAAAAAACCCGACCAGTGTCGAGGTGTGAGTACGTGCTCACATTTATTCTGGTCGGGTAGAACTGTTGAAAGTGAAGGCAAAGAGGTAGGTTGGATTGTGCGTGAAGAACTCGATGAAAACAGATTGTTTTCTTTCAGCCTTTAAACTGTATCTGTTTGAAGTGTAGTTGAAACATTGAGTGTATGGTGGTGATATCATGTATGTTGAAAAGTGCAATTTAATTTTCATTCAGTGCTGTTGATATTACTGTGTTATGGTATTCAAGTGTCACCCCAACTCTGGTGATGTAAAAGGGAAAACAAATATTTTGACACCAAGAATGATACTTGTTTATATTTTAAATGCATCATTTACATTTTTTTCAGATTCAAGACGGTAAACGTGTGATGGAGTGTTTGAAGAAGTCTCTACGTATTGCCAATCAGTGTATGGATAACTCTGTCCAAGTACAGTTGTTTGTAGAAATTCTTAATAGATATATTTACTTTTACGAGAGAGGAAATGACGCAGTAAGTAATCTTTTTTATGAGTTGGTGCGATCCTTGCGCTGGTTGGTGCAATCCTTGCGCTCTAATTTAAGTATTTCAACGCAACATTGATATTGTTTGTAGTAGTTAATACATTCTCTATTTCAATTACTTTATTTTAACGTCAAATATGACAAAATGTAGTGGCTGAAGACTAGTTTTTTTCTTTACCAGTGGGGCCTTTGATAAATGTATATCAATTTTTGTTTTCCCCACAAGGTCACAGTACAAGTGCTCAATCAACTCATAGAAAAAATCCGAGAAGATCTGCCCAATTTAGAAGGCAACGAAGAAACCGAACAAATCAACAAACATTTCCAGAATACAATAGAACATCTTCGAATGAAACAAGAAGCACCTGAATCTGACGGTCCTGCATATGACGGATTAGTATTATAAAATTTGATTGATCACAATATATTCTCCCTGATCACTTTCTACTTGCTGTCTCCTATATGTGTTATACTTTGAGTGCTATTCCAACTGGCAAACAGTTTGTGTATACCGTAGTAGCCAGGATTACTGATGTCACTCGTTCTTTCGTTTAGACCTGTTATTATTAAGTAAAGGAACATTTACATGTCATTTAAGGGGGTGTATATTTTTTGGGGGGTTTGGGGCTGCATTACATGTACTTTAAAATCCAACAACATTTTGAGAGAAATTTATTGTTCAGTCTTGCAGTATTATAACACTAAAGCTATTTTGGTCCTTATTATCGAAAATAAATACATTGTAACCTCATTATGATAAACACCTTTATGATACATTTCCTGATATAATTAATATATAGCATGTCTCATAACAAATCCAATGCCCTATACGTTTCATTATAGTGAACACTTCACTATAACAAACCCAATGCATTATATGGTTCACTACAGTGAACACTTCACTATAACAAACCCAATGCCCTATACGTTTCATTATAGTGAACACTTCACTATAACAAATCCAATGCATTGTATGGTTCACTATAGTGAACACTTCACTATAACAAACCCGATGCCCTATACGTTTCATTATAGTGAACACTTCACTATAACAAATCCAATGCATTGTATGGTTCACTATAGTGAACACTTCACTATAACTAACTACAACAGTGTACTCATTTGCATAAATTCTCAAGAGATAAGAATTGTTTGACACTATTCTAATGTCGCACTGGGTTGCAACATTATTGAAATCTTCATGCAATTATAAGAAGTGATTTTGTTTTCAAACTAATAAGGGGTTTTAATCATATGACAGATAATAGTTCAACTTTAGAAAACATGATTTTACTTTTTTTTTTATTTTTTGTCGTAAGTTATCATGAATCCCACAATCATGAAGTGTAGTTTTGGTAGTATATTATATATATATTGCTACCACGTTATGAACAGATGTAATACTTCTGCTGTATCTCTTATTGTATATTACCAATATATCTGATGTTACATAAATCTGTGTCATTGCCAAGGGGTCTCATTTACTCTGAATACAATACTGTTGACGTCTCTGACTTCTCCCCTACCCCTCCTCCCTTTCTCAACCACCCGCAATAAAAGAATTGTGGAAGCAGTTTGCATCAGTGCAAAAGTACATGTGGTGTTTATTTTGGGAATGTCACATTCATAGTTCGCGATTAACGAGGATGCTTGATCCAAGCACCTGTGAACTTCATACAAGTATTTATGAACGTCTATAACGTGACTTGTGATATCGGTATAAGGCCGAAACATTGAACAGATCTTTATCATCCTAATGTGTGTGCTATCTGATTGTAATCCTATTTTTGCTCATTGCTTACCCCGAGACCAAAATACGCTTTGTATTTTTAATTTTAGAAATCTAAATAAATTGAATCATGTACAGTATTACACATTGTACATCATCTGTTTATTCTCACTCACTCACTCACTCACTCACACGCTTGTTGTGTGAAATGAATATTGCACAAACACCACAGATGTGAATGTCATTGTGCAAGGACACCAATGAGGAATAACCAGATGAGTTTTGTAATGTCGTGGATAATTAAGACAAGTGCATGAAAAACGTAATCTCTTCATTAGAGGAGGAGGGGGGGGTCTCTGCACATACAACTCCCAATTATTATTTTTTGCGTAAAATTCCATGAATGAATACATGTTGGTATCCTACAATGCGTTGGTAAAGTTGGTTTATCGCTATTCTGTAAAAATCACAATATACTTTTGAATGGTGTATTTTATAACCGTGCAACCGACAGCTGGTTCTAACTTGTGGTCACATGGGTAGCATTGAAATATTGTAGATATGTGTCCCTGTGAAATGTTATTGAAGTTTAAATAGAATAAATATTGTTGACACATTTTTCACACCTGCAAACTTTCTTTCACATGGGTAGTTAAAGGTTTAATGAAGAGATTTTGTTTACCATGTACATGTTTTAAATATTGTAAAATTAAAAAGAAAATATGAAAACGCAAAACAACTAGTTTTCATTCATTGAATGTCCCCACCAGCAGTACGGTAGTAAGACGAGTTTTTTTTTATCCCAGAAGAAAACAAGTTATTCTCTGAGACGACTTCTTGCTGTTAAACCAAGCAACAGGGAGATCTTGACAGGCTCCACTGAGCTTTCCTATCTCGTCGTTGTCCAATAGTTGTACTGCTGAATAAAGCATTTACCATCGGGTAGATTCAGTATGGTTGATGACTGCAATACTACCGTGTCAGTGCCATTTTACATGCCTCATATATTAGACTAAATTCCTGTCTGGACTACAGAATTGTATAGCCATAGCAGACTTTTACTGTCAATTAGAGAGAGTACAAGGTAACCTGGACTGCAGACTTGGATGCCATCAAAACAATCTAGTTGATTTCGATTTTGTGTTATACTTTTGGCCTGTGTGTCATGCAGTTGTATGTTAGTACATTTCAAGATCTGACGCTTCTACAACGTATTTCGCTGATTGTTGTCTCATGAACTTTGTTTTATGAATTATTCACATGTCTCTGCTTGCAGGAATATTTTTGAATCCACTAAACATCAATAATAACAAGCATGATAGTCTGTTAAAAGTGCCAAGTATGCAATAATTAGGGGACAAAAACACAAACCTGCATAGAAATCGGTGGAATATGTCTTGATTATCGGGGACACGTTTCAATGGACTTGATTACGGGCAATGCATGGCGCAAATTTCACCCGAAAATTCCTCAATGAGCTCTTGCAATCGCAATTACAAGGTTTGCCATTTTTGTCGTCGCGTGGTAATTATGTAAATAATGACTGTGCAATTTGTTCGAACCTGTGCTTCTACTTGGTCTTTTGAATCATATACGCTAAATTACGGTTCTGGATGAGACAACAGACATAAAATGCTTATTCAAAAACGTCATCAAACCCTTCTCGCTATAAGGAAGTATTTGCACATATCTAAAGTCGTCCAGGTATTGTATTTTTTAAATTTAATTTAGGGTAATTTGATTCACATGTACGGTACATCCGAGTTCTATTTTAGATTAACACTTGATGAAACCTCGAATGGCGATGGAATGGTGATGTCGAATGTACTAGTATATCAAAACCTATGGAAACGTATTGTAACCTGCATGTCATGTACGGATATCGCCACTGATTGTCGAGTTGTTCTTTTACCACGGTGTCATTTCGACTATATGTATTGTACCAGTATTGTGTTGTTCGGGGAAATACAATAAAAACGGATCTTGATACAATGTGTATGTTCTACAGAAGAGAACTCTTTGTTTGCTTTCTGATTTACCTTTCGATTTCACCATTCTGTTAAGGTAGAAGCCTAGTCATAATTTTTGAAAAAAATGGTCATAAATCGCATGACAATGTTCATTAGTTTATTATGTACAATCATGAAGCTAATGTCTCATGGTACAATGAAATAGGATTATTTTGTGTGTTACAGTTATGCTTTTTGAGAAACGCGTCCTAATATTTCCTGAAAATTGCTATTTTTAGAACATTTCCATAGAACACAATGTTAAAGAAAAACTGCATTTTTTGACACTTTTTAAAACCCAGATTTTTTAAATAATTCAGAACAACAAAAAGTACTCCATCATTAACAATATATGATTTTTTTCAGCCTATGTCACCAGGCTAGATTTTGAGATATTGCATAATATCTCTGCCATAGAAACCTGTGGTAAAAGCGTTATAATAGTGTCAAAATGGCGATTTTCCACTAAAATTAAACCATCAATTTCTCGAAAAAAAGGCTGGTGACACCCAACTTTTTTTACGTCAATATCCTTATATTGCCTTGGAGTACAATTTATTGCAAAATGAATAAACTCTGCGTTTTTTAATTTATGAGTAGGCTTCTACCTTAATTCAGAATTGTACGCTGTATCAGTCACGCAGGGTATATTCTATGTTACTGTTTAGATGTAAGACTTGTGATGCACCTGCATCTTTTTCAATTTTTTTGTCATGAAATGTGCATGCATGCGACTCAATCAGCGTATCGGCAAGATTGCTTTGTTCCCAAAGCCAATCTCAGTGTATGGAAGCAAACTTTTAGTCATTACTCCGCTAAACTATGAAACTCTATGCCGATTAAGTTAGAGTACGTCCAATCATAGAGGATCTATGGTCCAATGTCCATTACATTTATGATTGTGATGGCCCCGATACATAACCGGATATTTGGATGTTTTCTTAATGCTTGATGTTAAGCCACTACCCCTAGCTTTGTCACCTGGTGGACTGAACATCAGAATAATTTGACCAGTACTAAATACTTGTACATATTTGCATTTTCAGACCCCAAACGACTGTTCTCATTATTGTCTTCAGTTCTAAAGTCGCCAAAAACTGTCGGGGAAAACTGTGAAGTTGTTTCCTTTTAGCGTAGTTTTATAGCGGTGAAAAATCGGAAAACGTGTACAAAAAATTGGAGCGAACTAGTTATTTGAATCCAGTACTCAAGTTATTGTGGCTATATATCCAAAGGGAAACAATCGTACCCCCGGAAACACGTGCAAACAGGCCCCTGTCGTGCACACCTATAACGTCTTCAGGAAGGCGCCCGCTATGGTGTCTAATACACTTGACTTTGTTTTTTTCAATGCAGTATAGCGTCTCCGAAAGGAATGTTACTCCCGTTTGGTCTGTAGAAGTCCTTGTCGCCGATCACGGTTTCTCGCTGATTTTTCTTTTCCGGTGTGTCCTTCACTAATGGTTTATGTTTACCATAGATTGAATTCGTCAACATGGGCACTGCCCGCTGTCTCTCCTGCAATGCACATAAATTAGCATATAATTATATAAAATCAGGGCAACCCAAAGTTTTGCTTAGGAAGGCCTGATAAAAACCGTATACTAGTAAGTGAAATAACACGTGTACAATAAATATTCCACTGGGTCAACTTAGTATGATTGATTCGATTACAAGTTTTCAGAGTACTTGTTTCATTCAGGGGTTTTCAGTTGGCCGGCGTATAAATACTAGTAGTCTTGCTAGCTAATTGCAGCGGAAACAAGTAAATAGTGACGAAGAGCGCCATCTATGGCGAAACTTTCCAAAGGCACGCGACAACTTGCAAGATTCTTTATGTACATTTGTTTTATATTTCTGAACATTATTTTAGTACGCTATACATCAATGTTAAAATATTGGAATTGTACAAGTCGAACAAAAACTATCGACACCATCGAGTTTGAAATATGGATCGTGCTATAATTAAACTTTGCGAAGAGGCAACCAACTCTTAAAATAACGGTGTCTCAGACCAAATCGCCGGGCACTGGTCCAACAACAGCACTGTGCCGGAAACTGAATACTTTATCACCTTTGTTGGAAATGGTAAATCGTTTTGACGTAACTGAAGGCGGTATATGTACATACACTAGAAATGTATGCTAAAATATGTTCCAAACACGTGCCTCTTCCGGTCGGATTTATTGCGAGTCGGGAATGGGAGTCTGTGAGGGTGCCTCTACGTCAATCATGATATACATGTTATAGCACTCGGCGCAACAAAGGCATTTCCTTCATCTTTATAACCATTGCCATTCCCTCCGGGGAATGAGTATGTGTTAATAAATAAATAAATACTAGTATTTATAAATTTCAATGGCAGTTGAGTCAATCCAGCCGCTCAACTAGCACAGTGCACAATGACGTAAGTTCTAATGTTATTCGATTAACCAACCTCTCGTTTCCGATTTGAATTGACTGGGTTAGTTATGGGCTAGTAAATTTGATAACTGTGAAAACAACTTTAAAGCGGGGGAGTCGCCACCTGCGCATGCGTCAGATGGCCAAGCGTGTCATTGTTTATAAGCAAATGTCTACCCATTAGCCTTTGCGTTTTTAGAATTTGTTGTTATCGTCGCTTGGGACTCAATTCCCGCGCATGCGCAGGTGACGACCTTCCCGCTTTAATTTCAAACATGTACTCAGGGATTGCGTTAACCCCATATTTTGCTTCCCGGACTCTAACAGCTCCAATTATTGAAGAGGGACCCAGTTTTTTCAGGCAAGCTGGGTTCCACTTGAGTCTAATAAAGTTATCCAGGCTCAAATTTCAATTTCTTAAAATTTGTTAAGTGGGACTCGTCTTGCCGAGACCCTAACGCAAACCCTGCTGTACCCCCATCATATTCCATATACGCCACCCACCTCTTCGCCAACATCGGCTCTGTGTGCTGACGTTCTGTCGTCACGTCGTCTTTTGTTTTCATACCCTTCCGTTGTGTGGAATAACTGGTCGTACAACAAATGCCTCGTATGCTGCAAAGAAAAGTATTTATATCGATCTGATAGCGTTAATATTCATTTCGCCTCACCACCTCTCTAGCTGAAACCTTCGGGTAAGAATCACATACGTATACAAATACATATAAGATCCTTCGAAATATAAACCTGTCATTCTGACAACAATATAATAGATAACCTGTGTTCTATCACGAGATCGTCTTGGCCTCTCACCTACTACCATACATACTAAATATAAACTAGCTAAATAACATCCGCGACCTGTATGGCATTACGCGTGAATATTTGACCCCGCCCTTCCGGTAGATTTCAGCTGCACACATCACGTGCGTAATAGTAGTTTTCTGCATTGATTGTTGTCGTGACAATCTCATGGCAACCGCCCTCGTTTCCATACACACTCAACATAATGTTAGAACGAAGGTAGTTTTATCTCTTTAAATGGTTTTGTCAACTTCAGAAATACTCACTACCAGCCTTCTTTTATGAGCGCCAGGAGTAAGACAAATAAACAAAATGTTACCATAACAACCCGAGAACTTCACCCCATAAATCAGCGCCATGCACCTGCTTTCTGTGCACTATACAGCTTGTACAAAAGTCACGTCACGTGACAACAATTTAAACCGGATATTACGATAATTAAATATGAATGATGGGAGCAGGAAAGGAGGAAATGTTGGGGGAATGGATATTTCATTCTTCGCCGGAGGGGGCTTGTATTCAGAAAAGGTATACGATTCACTCGACGACAATGAGGAGACTTGTTCTAAATGACACTTCTCGAGTGATGCAAGTGTCGTTGTGGGATTTATAAACCTGCTCAATACAAATAATATCTAGTGTGCACCTTTGTGATGCCCCTCCTCCTGCCAAGGCGGCAACCGCAACTCTCCATGTCTTTTATTTATTTATATTTTCTCGTAGTGAACTAATAGCGTGTTAAAATCTGCTTTTTGTGTTCCTTTATACCGACATATGTGAACAAGTTACGCCGGTGTTGATGGGTTTTAAGATGAAGATGGATTTTACGCTGGCGTAAAAAAAACAGTCGTAGACGTAGAACATAAACATCCGCAGCGAGTTTGTAAGTGAATTCGGGTTCTAAACTGAAATTGAGTGCCATGGTCAACTTAACGTTTCAATGACATATTTCGGTCACATTATTATACATATGTATTAGTATGATATTTAACATGGCCAAAAACTGTCAACAATTAGTTCTCGATGGCGCCAAATACATATAAAGAAATGAAAAAGTACGCAGAAGACTTAAATATATAGTGAACCGAAACATTGTGTCCATAATTGAATGGCCGCCATACTTCGGCGCGCCTCTAAAAGACTTATACGTCGGCGTAACTTCTTCCGAGCAGATGCATAAATAAAAATATAGGTAATCGCCAATCAAAGCGACAAATTTCGAATTTATTGTAAATAAACAAAGTTTGTTTTCAATGCGTTGCAAACGTCGCATGGAACCCATATTGAACACGACGCGACGACTGTGATGCTTTATTTTTTTTTCATGGTGGTAAATACTAGTAATAGTTTTTTGAGGATACGTCAACGGAAAGAAATGCATGTTTTCGCTGTTACTACTAAATATTATTCCGAAGATTTCGATCTCGTTTTAAATTGATACAAGTTACTTCATTTCAGATTTAAAAACATCGGGGTGGGAAGCCGTTTATGGAAGTCAGAATTGGACTGACTGCTTGGCTTGTCGTATGTAAACTCGAATACTTGTAAATACTATTGATGTTTAAAATTACTCGGTCGCGTTGACTTGATCATGGAGCTCCATGACTTGACTCACCTGTTTGGTACACCCGAAGTAGTTCGATACTACTGCTTTTTGCTTCTCTTTGTCCATTTTGTCTACGAGGGAGGTACCGCTGGATATGTACTGTACGGCAGAGGGTGTCAAAATAGTCGGGTTGTAGTCAATCCTATGACAAGACTCCAGAATGACGTATTTACCAGTATGCAACAGACAATGCTGTTCTTAGCAACTTCTGGATATTAATATTCATAAATGCGGAAACTCATATTACAAAGAAGGTAGGCCGACCACGTGACTGAGAATTTGTATTCATACACACCCGTGCATGTGACTAAAATTATGCGTCAATTTACAAAGAAAACTATAGTAAATCTAGAGGAATTATGACAAAACCTATGTATATATGTATATACGAATATATGATGTAGCACTTGTACAGAAAGTGGGGTATGTTCATTCCCAGTACAAAAATGGAGTCTCCCGCCACGGAATGAAAGTACTTTATATTGTTGCATTACACATGGCTACGAAAAGAATTACTTTGCACTAGCATCAGCATCAAATACGTCAATTGGTAACATCCGAACCACAAATAATATTATAGTTAGTCTAGTAATTATCTGACTAAATTCAAAGGGGTCCGATGTATGAATTAATTTAAAAAAATAAAAACATGGCACATGACTTTATGGACAAAACGTTTCACTAAATAAACTACCCTTTTTAGTAAATAAATGCGGAGATGTTGTTGTTACAATGAAACTTTGGGAAAATAGGATGAGTAAAAACTAGTTGCAATTTTAACGTGGGAAAACCTCATTCGTATGCTCAGTCAGTGGGCTTGCGACAATCTCCCATAATGCAATTGGTCCACTTTGTATATTGTCCTGCTGTAACTTATTATCATGGCTGAAAAATCCCTCGGCAAATATAAAAACAAATACTGGTAACAGTGAGTCAAACCTTGGTTACTAAAAAGTAACTAGTAACCGTATTATAACCAGTGTTGGTGACCATAATTTTATAAAAAACCACCTGCCCATAGTGGCCATATACAGTTACCTGTATAAAAAGGCCACCTGTCTAACGTGACCAGTGACTGTTGTTTTTGACTTCGCTTTAGTTAATGAACCTGTGTATACATGTTTAGTGTTGTTTTACAATTTAGTCTCTACACAGACCTATCAAGCATATACTTATTATTCCCCGCCTTTAAATATAAGTTGAGAATTGTCCCTAAAACTGGGAAATTATTGTAATTGTTTGTACACCGTCATATAAAAACTGTCTGTCTGTAAAGTATTTGAGTGGTTAGTACACATTTTTGACTGTACAATATTTTGTTGGCTCCCGTTCGAACAAAGTATGAAACGAAGTCGTCTGGTGGGGCGGACTCGTTTAAAACGTGACCCGTATTGGGAGCCATTATTTTTTCCGCCAAAATTGACACATTTTGCTTATTTACATATATTGAAATATAATTTCCCATAGGCTACAGATTTTGGTCGAGTTTTGTGAAAAAAATTGTGTTTTATTTTGTGAAAGATGACGGTTAAACTGTATTTTGTAGGACTCAGAGCACTTCGGGGACATAGTTAAGGGGTTTCCCCATGACGTCACAAGGCACGTGTCATAGTATAAATGTAGATTACCTGACCTTTTACAGTGATATGCCATCTTAAATAAATAGAACTTTACGTGTTAATAACAATGTAGGCCGACTTTGAGTAACATTGTTCAAATTTGTGAAATATTAATAAGAAGGGCATTTTCACAAACTCGTCAACAGGATCGTGAGAGAAAAAATCAACTTCAGATTAAATACACGCCTTGAGTTAGGTTTAAATACGCATGGAATATTTATTAAAAATTCTAAACAAAAATATTTATGGTTTTTTTTTTGAAATTTCATATATAACATATTCCTGTTACCATGGATTTCCATGATGTAAAGCACTATCGGTGAGAATTATCTTTTCATTACGTGTCAATTAAATTAAAAAAAAAAAATTGGCACTTCGTCACATTTTGCTAATATTTTTTAAAATCAGCGTATTTGGCAGTGGGCACAAACTAACGTCTGTCAATTAAAAAACGATTGGTCACTTCTGTCGTCCGACATCGTCAGTGTCAGGTAATATGTACTTTATGGGTTGAAGCTTTACGAACAAAATAATATATAAAGAAAAAAAACTGAACAATAAAATAACACGTATTAAGAAAATAAATAGTGCTCAAAAATACAGATTGCAAACAAACAAACAAACAACTCATGAACGATGAACGAGAAACTAACATGGTAGCAATAACATGATGTCATTGACTATCTATGAAAACTTATCGCATCAAAAGCGAATAATACACAAGCAATGGCGGACGCAGTTATAAATAAATACAACACTGCAAATAACAAATTTGTAAATTCAATAAAACAAGCAAATGTTTGTTTTTGTTCGGTTACGATGCTTTTACAGCGCTTGTTTTCGGTTTAGCACACGTCCCCCTCCATATGAAAGGTACGTTTTTATGTTTATAAAGTGGTTGTTGAGTTCTGTTTTGATTGACAACAAGGTTAGTTGGAAGAACTTCTGTTTCTCGCCGTGGCTTCTCCTCGTCACTTGGTAAACTGTGCTTCCTAGAGAAACGAAAGTTTCTCTGGATTTTCCCTGATGGGTATCCTGTTGACAGTTTGCGCTTCTTTGAAGTCATTGACAAATCTAATGGGCCGGTGTCCTCTTGCACAGATTCGATTCGATCGACGGATTCGTGTTCTCTTCGAGTAGGAAGCTGTAACGAATGGCGGAGTATATGCGATGGTTGCAAAACTGTCACCGGTGGTGGCGCTGCTTGTGGAGGGACATGTTGCTTTGGAGTAGAAGCGACGTTATTCGTGATCAACGTAATTGGCGCTGTTTTGACGGCGGTTGCGTGCATACGAGGTGGCGCTGTCTGCATGCCGTAGGCAGGGAACAAATTCTGGTGCATACTACGTAAATTTGCTATGGCATCAACCTGGTGACTGTTGTCCATGATAGTTTTATGTGAACCACCATTCCGAAGAGCGCCGGGAGTGTTTCTCTGTGCGCTGAAGAGCCACGGCACAGAACTAGGAACATCGTTTCTTATTCCCTGTGAATCCGCGTTCCAAGCACTGACGTGTTCATAAAAATGTTTTAAAGTCATCTGTCTGATCAGTTCTTCGTGGTATTTGTCTAATTGTTCCGATGCTCTATTATTGGAAAACTTTATAAAGTCATCCTTCGCTTGCTTCAAGTACTCGTCATCATTGTACTTCTCTTGTTTAATTTTAATCTTCAAGGATAGATCACGTGTTTGTGATTGGTCGGTTTTGTCTTTAAGTTTACTGGACTTTGATTGTTGATTTGCTGATTTGGCATCTCTGGGTTGTTGGTCGTTTGTAATTTCTGCATCCTTGGGAGACTGTGATTGGTTGTTTACGTTCCTCGGGTCACGGGTCGACTGCAACAACTTCTCGTGTTGGTGCATCAATGTTTCCACCAAACCTTCGTTTTGATGTTTTCTCGGTTCGTAGTCCTTTCGCGAACTCTTCGACGATCGATTCACTATGTCGTATGGGGTTATGTCGATCATAAGGGGCCTCAGCGGTGGCGGGGTTGCGCTTTCCCTCGGCGAAACTTGATTTGGAGACGGTATCTGGTTAGATGGTGACCGATTTACGGAAATGGGAGACGGCTTATCATACGTGTACGGCGACGAGTACGTATAATCGCGCGGCATTTCAGTGGAAAGAGTTGAGTCTGACCTTTCGTTTATTTCCTCGTCCTCGTCAGAATCTCCCTCATCCATATCGATCTCCTGGTCTTCAAAACAGTCTTCGTTATCGCCGTTCATTTCGCCTTCAGCCTGTTTATCTCCAAGGCTACCGGGGCTGCCCTTACGGAGAAGTCCTCTCTCTTGTACCTTTCGTTTGTTCTCCCTCCTATCCCTGGCACGCCGGTTCTGGAACCAGACTTTAATCTGACGTTCAGTAAGTCCTAATTGTCTTGCTAAATAACGCTTTTTCTCGATAGTGATGAAGCCCCAGTTCTGTATGTATGCGGTTTCCAATATCCCTTTCTGTATGTCCGAGTATGGAGTTCTGTACCTATAGACAAAACGTAATTATATTTTTAGATTTTGTGAAATTCAACCTACGACCATGCAGTGAAAATGGACGTAATACAAAATATACGCCATATGACTAAGTGGTGGACGAGATTAAGTGGCAGCAGTGGGCAAACGTCCGAGACAATAGCGAAAATAGTAGATGATAGAAATTCTAATAATCTTGAAGTCCGAATTATAAATACGAGAAACCAAGACAAAACAGCTGCCACAACTAGTCCCCGGGACGTCACTGTCGTTGCTCATAGCAACTCGGTCACTGTATAGCATATGAGCATGCGTCAATGAGAGACTCGCTAGAACGTCGTTCGAATTGGATAAGGTTGGACAACTTCACTGTTCCGCTTGGTTCGTATGGAGCACAATGTTCTCATGTTACGTACTGACGAACGAATGATTATTCATAGGTATAACCATATATCTACCGTGAGAATGTTTCTTACATATTATCCCCACAGTGTATGATGACCCCAAGACGATTAAACAACGTCACAATTCACATTACGACCGTCAAACACAGACAGTAATATAACCCGTTCAACCGTGTGGAAATACCAGTTCACATGCCTACCTTATACGTACGGTAGGTTAATAAGGTACGCCACAAGTAACATGCTTAACCTTCAAGAATCCCATTGTATCTGTCTCCGCCCGGTAAAATTGTGGAAATATTACAACTCTAAACTTACCTGTTAGTGACAGCTCGGACGAAGCCTCTTTTACTCTGTCTGCTCCACGTTTCTAAAAAAAACGAAACAGAAATGAAAAGTTTTTTTGTTTTTTTTTAGCTATTAAGAACACCTGGCTTTTTTTAAAGTGTGCCATCTCCCAAGCTGTTAGTCACTCAATCCATGCAAATACATAGCCCTGGGCATATGCAATAAAGCGAAAGTTAATCACCAACTACGCCGCTACTTGGGAATATTTTATAGTTGTGTGAGGTTAGAGTACTTTCTACTTTTTCGTCGCAGATAGATATATCATTAAAAAAAACCCAGACAGTTTTACGAAAAGAAACTCCATAGTGAGAGTCTGGGAGGTGGATTCTCGGTGTTGTTAAATAAGAGGGCGTTCTTCTGGCGTGGACATTCGATGGCACGTGATTGCCCAAACGCGCGATGTCACACTGCGTCGTTACAGAGGCAATGAGGTAATATTAAACAAACATTTCGTTGACGGATATTTGTTCCCTTTGTAACAGTTTATTTGCACTGAACTTAAAAGTTTAGTACCAGGAATAAGGATACGCTGCATAGAATAGTGGCAATAAAAAACTTGAAGTAGACAATAAAAAGGGCGTACGTGAATTGGTGAGTATTTTTACGTAAAGTCAATATGTTTCACACTGATATGCGTTCTTATATAGTATTGAAGGTATCTAGGTTAACCACACAGTAAAAATTGGCAGTTATTACACGGACAGAATTAATTTCTATGACTTTGACCTGACATAGAAATAGTTTGAGACCCCACCCCTCCTCTCCACAGCGCGTACCAACAACTTAGGAGTTCATATATTATGAGGGTTACAAACAGACACACAGACGCCGAACAAATATTGAAGGATGGTACCGATGGCTCTTGGTGACTATAAATCAAATCAATAAATTGACAGAAATAGATAAATAAGCAGTTCGCGCTACGAAATACACGTAAACAGTTTTAGAACAGCGCGAAATAAAACGCGTTTACATGGAAAGGGGCCAGGGAAATGTTAAAAGTACTTTGACACGAAACATGGTGTAAAATATAAGGGAGGGGAGTAGCACATGTTTTTTTTTTATGAAAGTTGCTGAAATGTGGCGTAAATTGTGAAACCCATGCGGGTAAATACCACACGACTGTAGTGTTTGTAGTTTGTTTGTTTTTTGGGGGGGTACAGCTACGGAGACGATGGTCATATAATGTGTACTCATATCACGGTTTCGTATGATACGACGGAAGCGTATTTAACTAACTACTCACCGATCGCTCCTATATCAGTCATATCTGCTTGGTCACTATGTTCCAGTGATTCCCTGTACAACTTGTATCCTCGGTGCTCTGGGAGAACCGCCACGCTGGAAAGTTCGACTGCAAGGAATCGGAGATATTAATCAGTTAGTACTTGGGGAGCGGGGGTCGACGGTTATAATAATACCCGCATTTAATAACGCGATGTTATCTGTTTTGTCATCGGCATGACATTGAAAAATTGCCAGCCATATATATATATATAAGACAGATTGAGTAAAGAGACAGGCAGAGAGCAATTACGGCCTGGTACCGATATGGGCGTCATAAAACAATCTACGCAGATACAGAGGAGCGATATTATTTGACAACCGTGAGATATTAACAACACTGAAAAAAATAAATGAGACGGATAAAAAAAAATGATAATCTATTTGATAATGGGTTTAGTCAGTCGTGATATAAGAAATGATCGGACGTCGCCGATATAGGTATGCTTACATTGCTGTTCGGCGCAGCAGTTAATACACCTCTTGGACGCCGACAGTTGCGATCACTGCGTTGGATGGGAGGGCTGGTAAATGTCGTTATTGCGAATAAGACGTATTTTAACTTGCGCAATGCTTTAACTGGTTCTAAACGCAATAAAGTAGAAAAACATCCCTCTTCTAGGACATTCACCCGAGTTAGTAAGCAATTTCACGAGCTCGGGTAATAAAACAAACCAAAGTCGTTATTTTTGATGGAAGCGAATCTCGCCGTTTTGCCCCCACACCCTGACCACTATATGCGCTGTTTCCACCAATCATCCACTAGACGCTTGGAGCTGGATTTTGATGGTGGGACTTGTAAAGTTTTATGAATCGTTATACGATGTATACCCCTCAAGCCGTAACTTTACGTCAGACCAATAATTTTATGATTGGAGTTTTTATGACGCTGTTATAAGAAACAAAGAATGGCACGATGGAAGTATGGATCGACATTATGCCCACACTACGTCATCCATGAAATGTAACACTCGAGGTCGAGGTAGATTTAATGAGTATTTTCGAGTGACTGTATTTTTTCGCTTCTACTGTTTTGTGTGTTTAATTATATCGCTGCGTTTAACATCAATGACTCGACCATTTCGAAATAATTTTAAAAGGCGTGACATGTTTTTTCTCATGTGGCGTTGATTTCAATTCTCGTATTCAGTGAAACTATTGACGACGATTACGTTCAGAGAAAATTGTAAGAAGATATTGTAGACTATATACTTTAATTTAAAAGACGATGGCGTACTTAGAGATAGCCGCCACTAGTGCGCTTTATTATGGTCTGACATGTAGTGGACGGGGATGAGAATATAAAGAGAAACTCCTAGTCACCATGACAACGTTACGGTATCACCATTCCCGGCGAATGAGGAAAAAAAGTGTAATTGATCAAATGGGTTTGTAGGTCCATAATTAACACTCGTCGTTTGTTTTGGTGAGGAAAAGATAATATACGACTCAATGGTGATATACAATGACAGCGGGGTGACTGATGGAACAGGGGCCAGTCGCTTGTGACTACGGAGACACATCATTCTCGCGAAGTACGTACCATCGCGTACCCTGTCCCCAAACAGTACTGAGGTGTAAAGAGCAGGGCAATTAAACAATGGCGGGCAATATTCATCGTACATTGCGCAATAAATATTATCTCCTATATCAATATGGACGCTCAAAAAGAAGATCGGTGTTATTTTCCCCCACTGGCTTAAGGAGCTTTATGGGATCCTGAGAGTTCAACATCCCTGTCTCACAGTATGCCTTGTATACAGAAAGCATTTTAGCTTTCATTATAACTCACTTTGCGCTCACAGCAGGAGGCTTGAGTACACATATACGGCAGATTTATGATGCAACTAGCCAACTTCCGCCGCGGCAATAAACTTTCGGTGTACAGCATCTAAATTACCAGGCAGGGCACCGTGACAAGCTGTATCATGTTACATTTTCCATCACTGATTGGTAAATTGCCCGAAGTGTGTATCATATGCTTCTCGGAGAACGGCCTTGCTCGTGATAGAAGGAGCACCGAAGAAGTACCATTTATTTGTTTTATGATCGCCAAATATCGGAGGAACTAAACATTTATTGTGAAGTTTATAGTTTCTCTGTAAACTTGTTATGGTATCAACTTGATCCGTTTTATAACTGGGAGGTGGTTTTAAAGAGACGGGAACTTAAACAAAACTCATTAAATTTAAGCGTACACAATGATGCCATCGGAATTTTTGCAAATTAAGCTCACTCAATTGATCCCAGATTTATGCTGGAACGAACCCGTTGGGGGGTAGCTTGACTCTCGATTCGTTTCCACAACGCTAATCAACACATTAACAATGTTGATAGATAATTTAAAACAAACAAAAAAAAGATAAAGATGAAAATGTGAAAGGACCGATTGATGCAGCAGGAGCGCGGACTCAAAATATATCGTGGGCGCAACGGAACGAGTATAGTTCATGTCCGCTATTCGCGACGAACACACGCGGGCAATTTGTCGGTAATTGTGAAAATTCACACACACATATAAATTAAGCGATGTTTGTGCGGTCGGCTGGAAAAAGAAGCAAACATCCCATGGTGGCCCTCTAACCGTGCTATCCAAACATCATTAGTACGAATATCGTCATAACGTAATAAAAGGTTAGGGCAATTAAGGTTGGAATGCCGTACGTAATAAAACAAACATACACACAAATACCATCGAGAGAAAGCGAGATCTCGCCTTACACGCAGGGCCTTAAATTACGACCATATTTCATGTCGCATTTCGGCTGATAGAACCCGCAAGCAATGGGACTCTGGTGTGGCGCTAATTTCTATGTGGCCAGAGTACACAGATACGGGGAACCAAACAAAGCTGCTTTATTGCCAATGCAAACAGGGCTAATACAGCGAACTTTGCCCTCTCTTGCATATCGGGTTTTTATGACTCATAGCATTTGGGCATGACACGATACAGCAGGGCATACGTACCAATAACTCAATTTGTGCATTTCGATCGTCGTCTATCATTCAGGGCAAACCTGGAATTTCGTGGAGATTTAACAAAATCTCAATTTAATGACCCATCCGAATAAATTGAAAATTTACGACGGACTTCTTCCTTTCTTTCCCCGTTTCCTGTAACAATACATTCGGAGATGTCCTACATCTTTTTACCAGCACTGAGGCTAAGGCGAATGGGAAACTGAGAGTGGGTATGCGTAGATTCGGAGAATGTCAAGATTACGGGACTGACAGTGACAAGATGCGATCGCGTCAGTTCAATATAGAAGGCACGCTAAAATAAACACTAGTTATAGACCTGTAAAATAAATGTCAATACTAGTACATAATTAATTTGTGTAGTGTTTGTCGATACTTTGTACCTATATCAGCCAGGCACACAATGGATGGTCGGTTTTCGATAAAAATAGACAAGAAACGGTAAAAAGTATCATTGTCGCATTAACTACTAAAAGACTGACTACTTACCCGCATCGCTCGGATGCACCGTTGGGATCTTCAGACCGTCGGCATTTCGTGACATCTTGGTACAGCGTTTGTTGGCAGGTGATACGAGAGACACTGCTACGTCGTCTTTTACGACCCACGTAAACATGTCGAAAAATGATGAAGCGATTTTTTTTTCAAGTGAGCGGACGAGTATCCACCCAGCTCACTGAAGAGATTAAACCCAGCTGTCTTCAGCGTACTCCCTAAGTTAATGAAGACATGACAGAAGCAGGAAGTTTGCCGTGATGTAACGGGGTCATATCAATTCCCGCCTTTTCAAAATAAACAATGAGCGTTTGTGAATGCAGGATGAGAAACAACTGTTCGTGAAATAATCTCGCCAGTAATAATGTGTGAGAGGATTATTGAAGAAACTGCAGTAGTCGGGGGCAATAGCGCGGGAAAATGAAAGTAACAGAAAAGTTTGGAATGTGCTAATGATATAAGATACCCAATTCATATTACGCACCATAACGCAGCGCCGTACGCGATTTAGTTTGAATGTCGAACATTGCTTCGATTGCGGCAAGTTGCCCGAGCACGGTCCCTATAAAACACGATTTATCCCGGTAATTTATCAGTTGTCTGAGGTACAAATTAAATCACGGTCTCTCGGTGTTGAGGGACTGTGCTCAAATTACGGTAGCAACGCGGGGGGAGGCTGTAAGATTTACAACACTCGTAATTAGTGAAAAATAGTTATTCTTTTATCAGATTATATAAATAGTTGGGCGGGAGGGGAAGGGTGTGGTAGTTATGGTTTATTAAATCCAATACAAATAACCGGTCGCTTGTGATTATTTTGTTGTGCTAAGCTTTTATGCAAATTATCACTAGATAATTAATTGTAAACGGAACGATTTCGTTGGAGATTTTTGCTGATTTTTTTTCAATCTGTGAATGCTAGAAAATTACACAAAATCAAACTTCCCGCCTTTTTCAAAATTACCCGGGGGGGGGGGATTAAGACACATAAAAAAACACAACCTCGACAGAAATGCACGGATTCTGACAGTACAAATCCAACATCCGTTTTGGATTTTTTTCTCAAGCATCGAACTATAAATGAAAAATCAAAACGAAAACTTTAGAATTATATTTGCATTTGTATATTTAAGGTCCATGGTCAAAATTACGACGACGTCACCGTTAAATCCATCGAAATTAGACGAGCGGTCGAAGCGGCCGAGATGCCCCCATGTAATTTATCTGCAGTGAATTGTCTAAACCACTACCTTCCATGTCTAAACCATGTCTAAACGGACATTGTAAAAATACAGCTGTGCGGATTTTCTCTAAGTACTAACTCAAAGATTAGACGGCAATGGCACATTTGTTGTTTAATCTCAAATTTTGCAGTTTCCGAAAAGTTATTTCCTAAACTATTTTGATTATGTCTTAGATACAACCATGATACAACACAGTTCCCAACACTGGGACTGTGGATACAATAAAGATACCATAAAAAAATCACGCACAAAAACTGTGTAAGATTTCGAGGACTGTTCTTTCGGAAATATAAAAGACCCCACTGGTGAACAAGCATGGGGCCAAATGGCCTACAGTTGACGCCGATGCATATCGTATTACTATTGCTCCCCATAGAGAGGATAAGAAGCCCGAGTAATAATTACTTTCATGTTTATTGGAGTGTTGTTTCGCACAGCGGGGAGCAGGCTCTGGGTTTGGATATAAATTTTATAAAACAGGGAGGAACAGTTTGCACGCTAATACCTTATCGCACTCTTATCTGGGGAGAAAATTGGCGAGGACAATGAGGGTGTGATAACATTTAACTTAGAATATATACACCAAATTACAATGCTGTACGATTTCCGGGGGTGAAACAGTCAAACTTGTATTTCAACCTTGGGCGAAAGGTACATTACAGACATGACCTGCGGCGAGACATTCCGGGATGAGGGATATGATGAACGTCAAGCGACATCGGGGGTTGAATATATAAAATAAATACTCGGGACTATCACGTGTTTTATATAGACGACTAAACTCCGACCGTGCTCCACAATTCAATCCTGACGAGGGTTCTCCTCATAATTTGTTTTGTCTGTTGTTGTTGAGAGATGTTGATATAATGATGCTAGATAGGTTCTGTTGGATTGAAAACTTTTTTTGGATAAAAGTGTAATATTAGCCACAATAGGCACGACAAGGTCCGCTATCTGGTGAAATAAACACCGTATGCTTGATAACCAAAATAAACCTTTGTTAATCTAAGCAGGGAGGTGTCTTTTTCAAATCTTTATCACCGGCTTTAATTTCCATAACGAAACCTGATCTCTCACATGGGGTTGGTTACGTAACAATTGCACGTGCTGGTCTAGGGTTGGACGAGAGAAACCTTGTTCTGGCGAAATGCTACTCTGTCAGCACGTGACACATCGATGAGCTGTGAGTGATATATTGCAACAATATTATGGATATACTCCTGCTGCGACTCATTGGTGGTCTTACTGTCGACACTTACACCTCATTGTGGCTTCCATTTGTTGACATAGCCAATAAATCTAACAATAACATCTCTGCTATAAATCCCGTCAGGCGTTTAAACAAGAAGATAAGTTATTCAAAAAATAATATAGCACTACTGTATTTTGTTTTATTACAGATAACATGGAGGCATGATAGACCTCCTTGGGCTTATGACAAGAAGCCGTCGATGACGTCATTTGAATCGTGCCAATCATGTTATTGCGATGGCTGGGTCCGTTACGCTAGTATGATTTGATTCGGTTTGGAAACGAAACGAACCGAGCTACATGGCTGTTAAATTGTTTACCGAGTTTATTTGTCAAATCACGCCATGTGTGGGCTATGTCAACCTTGACTGACGCTATATTTATAATAATTGTGTGCTAATATCTCCATTGCCGCATTCCATCGGCTCAAAAAATCCTGTGCTACCTCGCGACTTCCTAAGAACTCCTGCTTGAAGAAAATTTATTTTATCATTGTTCCACAAAAAACATCGATTACCGATAAATCTGTCAGATATTTGTCATTGCATTTCGCACGTTTCCGAAATTGGGTACATATCTTCCGGCCACGACGAATTCTGGGTAAAAATAGTGAAACCCGTTTAGACAGCCTCCGCCTAAAACATGGATACCAGCAGTATACTAACTCATATTATACGATATACAATACAATATGTGGTAATAAAGATACAAGTATGTGGTTATGCAATTATAATCTGTGGTACAATGGAGCCAATAATATGTATTTACTGCAACCTTAGACAATTAATAATTATTGCAACGATTGCAGCGTTCATTTGATTTGCATACCTTTGTATAATTACATTCTGACCTAATCCTATGTCAATAATTAAACGTATACAGTCAGTTTATTTACTGAAGTAATTGCCATTTGTTTTATTCCGTGGCTCACGGTTAATCACAAATGCATTCTTTTGTACGACCGTATATGTTGGGTCCATGCCAAGCGTGAACCCCTGAGATTATTTAAAAAAAACTTGTATAAACAGTGTTTTAATTACGGCATGTCGTAAAATACCACTCCAAATTATTGCAATATCCTGATTTAATCATAAGACTTTACAGTAGAGGGGTACGGAACTGCGGTATTTTCGTTGATGTAAGGTGGTTTTGAATCTACTCACGATCTACTGGAAAGTTTATGGTTCAATACGGACGCCGTAGCCAAGCTGAAAGCAGTTACTCCGCTATTACATGCGCATGCGCATGTACACACGACGATTTATTGTCCTGACGAATAACGTGATAAAATAGCAGTGTTTGTGAACAAAAATTGTTTAATGACATTGGTACCATGGACCTACTTTACTTACTAACTCTATGCATACCTTCCCTATCTGATAAATACATGCGAGACGTAATTATTTAACACCTTTTTTTACCTTTTTAAACACACTTCCTGTTTTAGTTCTGTCACTGTATGATGTCACCTCGACGCTGTGTTCTGTGTAATTGACAGTTGACAAATTCAGTGGCTTTGGATGTCACGTACTACGTTACTAAGCACGTGTTTTCACATACCACAAACGAATAATGTTTTACATCTGGTTAGTGTAGGACATTTACCACGCCCTCAAACTGTGTATTTTCTGACGAGTCGAGAGAAACCAGCCCGACCGAGCTACCCAACTTTGGAGCATGGACGGTACTAACCGTTAGTACCTTCCATATTTATACAAAAACAAAAATAATGATATTCAATAAAAGTGGAAAATTATTTAACCATAAGTTTATCTTTCATTACAAAAATGAAGAATTAGATATAGTTAGAAATTATAAATATTTAGGCATAGAATTTAAACCTAGTGGAAATTTTGATTTAGCCGAAGAAAAATTATATAAAAAGGCATTGAAAACTTTTTTCTATATTAAGAAATTAATTACTACATCAACTAATATAAGTATACCAACTTGGATAAACATATTTGACCATGTAATTCGACCCATTCTGACTTATGGATGTGAGATTTGGGGTTCGGAAAATACACAGATAGAAGTTACCCAGAAATTCTCAACCTTAAAATGTCTAAAATGTTACTACAAGTTAATCAGACGTCAACAAACTTAGCAGTGCGTGGTGAACTGGGCAGACAACCAATATCA